TAAACCTGGGGTGATGCTGGATATTTTACCTTCAGTGATACTGGATATTTCAGTGATCAGTTTTATATCGTCAGCTTTCATTGCTTGGTTGGTCTGGGATTTTTTTACATAAGAGAATTTTAGATGAGAGGAGTCAAGGGGATCCCACGGGCAGGCAGCAGGTATTGGAATAACCTCCAGGGGGTTTTGGAATATCATGGAATAGTTCCAGTGGTGAGGTGTCAGTGTGTGCCTGCTGTGCTCCAGCTTTGGGGAGCAGGAAAGGGCTGGTTCAGAGCTTGGAAAACCAAATTTCTTAAAGTGAGGGAAGGTAAATGGACTTTTGGTGTCTCGGTAATGCTCCTGCTTTGGGTTGAGTGAGCAGCACTCAACCATCACTGGCCCAAGGATCACAAGATCCACGGAGCTCTGATTTGTGCAAAAATTACTCCTTTTTCCTAAGATAGATGTATCCAAAGAGATTTCCTGCCTCAGGAAGGTGGATTGTTATAATTTCTGAGGTGTTTGGGTGTATCTGTGTTTGGGAATGATCTGTAAGTGATGCACACCCCAAAATACTGCAGCTCCAGTGACAGAAAAGAGGGGAGAATTTAGGGGGTGGTTTCAGGGATAATGAAATGAAAGTGACCATTTCAGAGGTGATTCCAGACAGAATGAGCGGATGTGAAAAGGTCACAGCAGGAAATGAAGGCACTCATCACAGTCCTCTTCCCAAACTGTTCTTACAGCATCCCAAACCCTGGAGTCTCTCAGAATATGACACAATTTGTGCATCCCAGATGCCATTTGCTGCATTCTTTCTGCTTTTCATGTATTTGTTTCTAGTGAGCTTTCTTTTGTAGTTAAGCTTATCTATTGTTTCCCTCCATTTCATGGTTTTCTCTCAGAAATGATCCTGTTAAACCTTCCCTTTGCCAGGGCTGCAATTGAAAAAAAAGCAAAACAAACCAAACGAGGGGGGAAATCCCAAACCAAGCCCTGTCCTGTCATTCCTGCAGCTGGCACATCACTCCCAAAGGCTGTGCTTTCAGAGGCTTTGCTCTTGTAAACTCCTTTAAACTTCCTTTTCTCCAGTGAAATAAGGAGCTCCAGTTTGGAAGCTGGGTGGGGATGGATTGAGCTGGACAGCAGAGGTTGGTCCTGCCTTGCTCTGTCTCCTTGCTCTGAAGAGCTGGGCTGGCTCCTGAAAGGGAGCAGAGCAAACAACTCGGGCAATAATTGCTTTGGCTCCCTGACTTGGGTTTGCCATCGCTGCTGAGCAGGAGGATCACTCTGGGTGACCTTGAGGACCAGTGCTGGCTGTGCTGCTCGGGCAGGACTCGGGTGAGGATGCTCCCTGCTCCCCTCTTCTTGGGTGCAAACCTCCATCCACACACACAATATGGGCTTACTTGCTGCTCAGAAATGAGAATGTGAGGCACAAAAATCCCTTAGTCATTGAAAAACGTGCAATGACATTTAAATTCCATCCATGACAACGTGTTCTCTCAAAGCCTCTTCGAAGGAGTTTGTTGAGAGCTCTTTAAATTCCTGAACCACTGCTGACTAATAGAAGCATATAAATTAGCTCTGAAACAGGTTCATTTAACTCTTTTCTAATGTGTAGCATTTGGCCTGGCAGAGCCAAAATACTGTGACTTGTTTTTGTGTGGCAAATTGAGCACTTTGTTTATTAAAATTGCTGATTTGTTGTATAATGAGGAGGGCCCAGATTACTGTTCCTTCCACGGGAAGGATTTAAAGGGCAGGTCACTGCTGTTCTGCAGCAGCAAAGTAATTCTGATTATGTGCTCATCCTCTGTTCTCTATTTCACAGATCTTCGTTAGCCAGGTTTCAGAATGATTAACTTGCTTTTTGCTTGCAGTCCTGACAGCCTTAGTGATTCTCACACATTTGGCTTCCTAAATTCTCCTCTGAGCACAGACAAATATGTCTGTAAAGTGAGATTGCTGATAATTTATCAGAATAAAACCAGAGAATAAAGCTGGGTTTATGTTGTGAAGCTGCACCCTGCATCATGTAATATTCAATGCTTTTTTTAACTCTGAGCTGGGACTCTTAATTGAAGCTGCAGCTCTGCACTTGCTTCATGCATGACTTAAGGCATCCAGCAATGTTTGCTAGGATGTAATTGGCTTTTTTTGTAGAAGCTTCCACACAGAGAGGTAGAACAGCCATTTTGCCAAAGATTTAGTAAATAACGAGGAACATAACACAGGATTTTAATAATGCCCTTTGATATTGGGAGTGGGATCACAGATTTTGTGCTTTTCCTCCTGCTCCAGTGTCTTTCCCCTTCCCTTCAAGCAGAGTTGAGTGCTGGCTGTTGTTGCTAATTGCAGATGATGGAGCACTGACATTTTCAAAAGCACACACAGATGATGGGCACCCAAAGGATGAGACTGCTGCCTTCAGAGATGCTGCTACAGTTCTGCTGGCATCGACTCATTTAGTGATGAATTGCAGTAATAGCAGTTCAGGACCTACAGCATATTAGTGAAAATGAATCCACTGAGCACCAGTCCCATGGCACTGCAACAGCACTTAAAGAACGCTGATTTCCTTAAAGGCAGAAAAATCTGATTAAGAAATTTTAGTTGGGGCTTTGTTTTTTGCTTTTGGTGGGTTTTTTTTTGGTTTTTTTTCCCTTTACCAGCAGTGTGTTATTTGTATTTGTTCCTTGTAGCATGTGCTGTTCTAAGGAGTTTAATGTACATCAGAAAAGTAGATGAGTTCCATAAATACAAAATGTCTCTTACTGTTCTAGCAGATGGAAGATGCTACAATAAACAGTAGAACTGCTTTAAATTCTTCATCTAAACTGACCTAAAACCTGGTTATAACAGGAAAAAAAGCTCAACATGCTGGCACTGAGGGGATACGTAATGGTTTACACAGGGTGTGTGGCAAAGATGTTGTAGGATGAATGCAGCAATTGGCAAGAATTATTCTAATAAAAGGATGGGGCAGCCTATTATTGCAGGAGTTGTGTAATTTGAGGGAGCTAGGGATAAAGACAGGCTTCGTGTTAATGATGTGTTGGTGTTTGCAGGAGAACAGAGTGTTCTCCCAGCTCTGCAGAGAGGGATCACTGCGGAAGGTCCCGAGCACAAAGCTGTGCAGTCTCCTTCCAAAGCATCCAGCAGCCACAAAATCAGAGGGGTCTGGAGTGCAGGGATGCGAAAATCTTCTCCTTCCCTCCCCATCTCGACGCCCTCAGTGGGCAGCAGGGTCTGGGACATGTCTGGATCACGTGCAGTAGCACCTGGAAGTGGCTCCAGGAATAAAGCAGTGCTAATAAATAGGCTCTTCTTGGTCAAGTGGGTCTTGTAAACTTCAACACATGAGTCTGAGATGCTGTAAAGATATTCCAAACTGGGATTTATGCATAATTTCACCATTTTAGGGCTAATACAGCTTTGTAAGGCTGACAGCTGCAGAGGAATTATTTGCAGACAATCCTGGCTGGTTTGGCCAAGATCTGTTTTGTGCCAAGGGCAGGGATACACTCCTAACACTGGCTGCATTAACAGCTCTGCTCTGTCAGGGCAATGAAAAATCTGTATTTGCTGCACCTGTACCATCTTTGGGAAGGATAAAATCTGCATATGTAACTGTATGGAGGAAGCAGAGGATTTATAGCAGGTGACTCTGGGGGTGATGTGGGTGTTTGTGCACTCAGGGTTCTCGACGAGCGAGTGATGAGTTACGATGATGATGAAATAGTTTTCTGTATTTTGTGAGTTGAAAAGCAGCTTGGCACTTCTTCCCAAAGCTCCTGCAGTTTGTTGAAGTTAAGAAAGTCAGGGGAATTCTTTTTCTGAATAATAATTTTTAAAAAAAATTGAATGATAGAGTTGTTTAGGTTGGAAAAGATCTTTAAGATCATAGAAACCTGTGTGGCTTTCAGGTAGGCCAAGAAACGTCCCAGTCTGAATATCCAGGACTTGATAATTGATCAGGATGTAAATAACAATATAACAGCTGTAAAATAACCTCAAAACACAACGGCTGTGTTGACAGCAGGATCCAGCTAAGATGACTTTCTAATGCCAAACATGTTGAGTTTAAGGATTCACATGATTTCCACATTCATAAAGAAATTTAAGATGTACCTTTCTGACTCAAAAGCAGGTGCTGCTTCAAGTAGCATGGGCTGTTGGTTTCTTAATTTTAAAGTCCTGATCTCTTCTGGGCAAATTGTGATTTAATTACAGAAGTATTTCAAACCACACAAACAGCACACATACATTTTGAGCTACGTTCCCTGAATAAAGATGAGGGAACTAAGGTAAGTCAGTCTCCAAAATGTTTGTTAAGGTGATAAAAGATGGGTTGAACTAACCAGGTAAAGACTAAAGGTTGTACTGAGTTATAGTTTCAGTATTTTTAATGCCTTATGGATTGATTTAAATAATGACAGTTAGGGATGAACACAATTTTATTTCTTTCTGATTGGGTTTGTTGTGTTTAGAGCTGTGTGAAAGTTACAAAGAAGACTTTGATATTCAAAGTTTCCATTTCATTTCCTTCTGAAAGAAATACCATGAAAAATTCAGGTGAAAGGAAACCAGACGAGATTCATATGCCGTTAAAGGAATTACATTAGGAGTTGTAATAATATCCCTTAATCTTAAAAAGGTAAGTCTCTTACAGAATTAAGGTTTTGCTGCTGCTTTTCGTGCCGTGTGAGGAATTATGGCTAATGCAAGTTGCTGATGTGAAAACATCCTTGCTAATCCTGTTTGGAGAGCGGCTCGTTCTCCTTAGAAAAGGCACAGGAAGATGTAATATGGGCCCTTCGTTAAATAATTACTTAATTACACCCTGGGACTGGCAGATAGCAATCTGAATGCTGCTGGCAGGTTTATCCTAAAGCAGCAAAAGTTCGTGTGAGGAGCGCCACGTGCGCAGCGGCAGGGGCGCGTTGGCATCAGCAAACTCAAGGTGGAAAAGACATTTCAATCAGCTCATACTCATGAAAAAAGCTTCTACTCACCCTTCCCTGTGAGCTTCTCCCTTCTCTAGCTCCTGTATAACACCCAACAACACTTTGATGGTCTCCTGACTAGAGCTGATCAGGTTCTCCATCATCTGAAGCTGCGCTTTCAAGTCCACAACTTCGGTGTGAGGCACGATTTGTTGGCATTCCTGGCTCACGGCCACGGCCGTCCGGCAGGGCTGGCTCTCCTCCATGGGCGCCACGTTGACCTGCAGGCTCTGGTCACTACATTCGGGCGCCGGGCACTGCGCCCGCGCCGCACAAACTCGGGCATCTCCGGCCGGGGGCTGCACCCCGTTCAGCTGCACCGTCCTCTTTTCGCCCTCCTCGGGGCACGGCCCCCAGTCGCCCAGGCCGGGCAGGTCGGGCTGTGAGGCCGGCAGGTAAACCGTGGCCACTTCAGTCTTGAAGACCCTCCCGTGGAGGGGCTGGGCGGCCTCGTCGCTCCCCAGCCGCGCCGCCACCGCTCTGCCCCGGCCGGGCGGCCGCACCGGCTCCTCCTCGCCGGGCTCGGCCAAGTTGGGCAGAGGAGGAGGCGGCTCTTTGGGAGAAGTGTGCAAATCGCTGCTTTTCCAGGCCTCGGCGCCGTCGTCGTGCGCGGCGCGCTCGGAGATGTGGGAGATGAACTCGGCCGTCTGCAGGCTGCCGGCCTTCCTGCCCCACGCCGCGGCCTCGCCCGAGCCCCGGCCCTCCCTGTCCTTCACCTCGATCAGGAACCCGTTGTTCTCACTCGGTAACGTGTCCACGGTCGAGGCGCTTTTCAGAATATTCCCTTTTTTCCTGTCCAGAGGGAAGGTCTGGTAGCACTTCTTGAGATCAGGGGAAGTCTGGACTCCTGTGCTCTTGGTGACGTTGGGGATGGACCTGCGGGCAGGCACCGTCATGTACTTGCGGTAGGCCGTCTTGTAGGAGATGGCCTTGGCCTCCCTCTTGTCGGGGTCCTGCGTGGAGGAGGTGGAGAGCTGCTTGTCCCTCTGCTCGTTCTGGGCCTCGCAGATATCCTTGAACCTCACCTGGAGGGCTTTGTTCCGTTTCTTGATCTGCCGGTTGGGATCCAGCGCGTATTTCATCTCCAGCGCCAGGGAAGCCGCGGGCTCGACGTCGCTGTCCGAGGCGGTGAGTAAGCATTTGCTGGGCTCCTTACTCACCATGATGCCTGCAGCCAAAAACAGGGTAAACAGCCTCAAGTTACAACAGAAATGTTATTTTCTCCCCCTTTTTGCAATATTTGAGCCACGTTCCTGTGATCCCGCTGAAAACGGCTGCGACTCGCGACCGATGCGCTCGATTCCGTCAGGTTGCAGCCCTTGGTGACTCCCTAGAGATTTGTACCTTAATGGTGCTTTTTATCTCCATCTGTTGTGAATACCTGCTCCTCAGAGAGGAGCTTTCCTGGGGACAGAAGGTTTTCCACAAATGTTTTCCCAGGATAAGAAATGTCATGCCAGGGCTTCCCAGAAGCAATTTCCTTCAGGAATATGTGCTCCCAGGAAGCCAGTCCTCTGAATTTACCTGATAGTTAGGAAAAACTACAGGGAAACTGAAAACCGAGTGTCTTTGTCCAAGTGAGGAGAAGTTGAAAGCTCTGCCCACCCTTAATCCTCCTTTAATGCAAATATTTAGTAGCAAGAAGTGTCAAACTGGCATTATTTTTAGCGTGTGCTTGCTTACCAAACACGATTTTGCTGTGTAATGTATTCAGCGTTCTTTGCAAGGAATTAATTGGTCGTTAGAGGTGTCATTATTTGGATTTTTATAAAAAATTTCCACACGGCTAAAACTAAATGCAGATTAATTATTACTAGCAACTGGTTGGTAGTGCTGGATGCATAAAATTTATGAATTAGTGAAGTTTTGGAGGAAGTCAGCAGTGCATCAATTAAGGTTTTGCTTCAAATGCAAAACAACTCATCCTTTCCTAGAAGCAGTAATGTGCCTTTACGACACAGCTGCTTATCCCAAAAGATCCTAAAGCACTAAAAACCCTCCAAACCTGTGATGATTCACAGAAATTAACTTAATCTGCCATTGAAATACAAGCTCCTCCTCAAGGAGGAGAAGATGCCAACTGCTTAACAAAGCATCTACCCCCAAAAAACCCCAAACCCCAGTGGTTGTACAGATCATAGGGGATGTGGAGTAGCTGCATAATTAAGATTTCATTTTTATACCTCGTTTGAAGTTGTAATTTTTACTTTCCCTTTGCGCAAATTTCTCCCTGAGACCTGCTGAATTACCAAATTCCCACTTAATCCAAACATTCTGCATATATCTCCTGTTGAAACCTTCAGAGGGACTTGGAAGAACAATGTAAAACAAGTAGAGACTTCCAGGTGTACTTGAAATATATTTTTAATTAAAATTCCTTTGTCTATTTAATAAAATATGTGAAACTCATGAAGAGTTAAGTGCCATAATAGCGTCTGTTTTAGAAAGCCAACTCAGGGGCACAAGGGAATGAATCCTTTACTAGTCTATATTTAAAGTAAGAAAGCTTTATGAAGAAATCATTTTCAGAGGAAAACTGAATGTTTATGAGGTTTTAAAGTAACACTTCCCTAAAGATACACACAGATGTGCATGGCACAGAGCCCAAGGTCAAAAATCTCACAAAAACATGTCATCACTTAATTTTTTTTTTCATGTTTTAATTCCCTGGCCCCAGTAATTTGTGAAGAAGGAACTGAAATATTCTGGAATCCCCCTAGTTTGCCTTTTTCTGTCTGACAGGGAGTGGTGAGGGAGCTGCAGTCCTTGGAGAAGGGGAAGAAGTTTTTCTGTGACTCTGATGTTGTGCACAGTCTGTAGAAGAAGCAAAAAGAAGGGAAAATTCAGGACAAAACCATTTAAATAAGGGAATCTGAGATTCCAGATCCCAGTTTTCAACTGGATATTTTATATATACAAGCCTAAGATCTGATACCAAAGTGACAAATTCCTTTTTTGGGGAAAAAGAGAGAATAAAACGGAAATTCTAAAGAGTCTAAAGATAAAAGTAGGGTAGAGGGGTAAGATGAGTTATCCCTGTGCCCTTAACATATGAGGTACAAATAGGACAGATTTTGAGGGGAATAAATCAACTACATTTGAATGTCAGGAATTTTTTGTTCAGTTGAAACCCTAAATATGGAGTTGGTTGTGGGGGAACATCGGTGTCCTGTCCTGGCCTGTTTGGGCTGTATTTTAATTGTGATCATGTTTGTGAGTGAAGAGATGCCTTTATTTGAGGGACACTGTGCAATCAGAGCAGGTAGGGAGTAGAGGCATCCATCATTTTATCTATCTAGGGCTGGAATTTGGGAATGTTTTAGTGAAAAATGTGCTGGCTAAGAAACAAACCTGCTCCTTTGGCTTGCAGCTGGACCACATTAAAATCTATTGTAAAAACTGCTGTCGAACCCCAAAACTCTGCACTTCAGATTTGCTGGAAGCAAATTTTCCATAACAGTCTGGTAAATGAATGATTCGACAAAAAAAAAAGCCTAAATACAAGAACACAACAGACATTACAGCCATTAGTTCCAAATCTGCCAGTGGGAAGTTTCTGAGCTCCCAAGAAACTGTGGCAAAAATGAAATGTTGCATTCACAAAGATGTGAAATATTCAGTAACTGTGTCTGAAAAAGCCACGTTTTTACCCAAAAAGGCTACAAAAATTGGCTGTTAGCTCTGAAAATCACCCTTTAGAACCATCTCTTAGGATTCCCTGGAGTTGTCAAAGTGAGTTTTTGGGCACTTGGTTATTTGACAGCAGGATCCATTAACATGCAATTTATTTTCAAGTATTGGCTTGATATTTCATCAGTATCTGTGACCTGTCTCAATTTTCAGATTATTTTACCTCCCACTTGAATCCCACCATTTTTGGGGGCTGCAGGATGGATGGTTGGGTTGGTTTGGGATGACTTCCCATGGAATCCATGGGAATTCCATTCCATTCATCACCCAGCTGAAACCAGGAGTCTGGAGATATCCTCCAGAGTAGATACATGGGGAACTTTATTTTGCAGTTAATTTTAAGCATGTCTTTAATAGCCAATAAATTGATTCTTCACCAAGTTGCTTGTCTCCCTTTCCCAACTGCACTGGCCTGATTGATTTAGCTGATACAGAGTATTTTATTCCCACTAGTAGCTGGGAGTAATAATTTTAGAGATATCTGTGATTAAGAATGACAACAACCAAAAGAAGTTGGTATTTTTTTGAAGCCTTGCTCGAATCCCAGTGTCTCTTGAGGGGAATTCTCTGTGCTCAGCTGATAAAAGAACAGTTGAGCAAAGAGTCAGTTGTGAGTTAAACACTTCACAGGGAAGAGTTGATAAAATATTTCCTGTTGGCTTTCATTGTTGGTTTGGACAAAGTGTTGCCTCCTATTTTGGTTTATTTAGGCACTGCCACAGCGCGGTCTCTGCAGGATTTTTGGATACTTTAGGAAGCTGAAGTATCTGAGCTGGAGTTTCTCAATTTATGCCTTGTGCTGTCAGGGGGGTAATAAAGCCTCTACATTTGAATTTTAGTTGCAGATGCCAATTACATGCAGATAATAGAGTTCAACTTTTTATCTGTACTTACTCCAAACAAAGAGCTGAATTGCTAAACTAAATATTTAAGTAATCACAAGCTTAGTTTTGAGGTTTCTAGCTTTGATTTGTTTATAAACTTGTGGCTGATTACTCTTAAGCAGCATCCCTCTATGTTTGACTATGGAAATAAATTTAATAATAATAATAATAATAGTAATAATAGTAGTAATAGTAGTAATAATAGTAGTAGATACAATAGCAATAATAGTAACAATAGTAACAATAGCAACAATAGTAGTAGTAGTAATAATAATAATAATAATAGTAACTAAAAAGTGATGCACAGAGAAGCCTTAAATCAGTATGAAATCTCCAGGGTAATTATGGAAACCACCAGTTAGGTGGCACAAATCTTTGCAGGACCTTCACTCTGTATCCCAAACTCTGCAAAGTCACTGCTCTGGGAAGAGAATTCCAATGTGGAATTTCCAGGCTGGTTGGTTAATGAGGGGAGAAGAGAATTTGGAACTCACCTTGCAATTTCCATTTTATCTCTGTCAGTTTTATGACACAGAAGCAGATTCAGGATGTGTTAATACGCAGAGTGGGCTTAAACTTTCCAGGTTCTAAATGCAGATGAAAGGCACAGATTTCAGTCCTTGGGTTTCCAGAGCAAATAAAGGTTTTGGAGATGCAGCTGGAAACATCCGTGCACGTATTAAGAGCGCACAGGAATTTGTGGATGGATGGATGGGCTTAAAATAATGCAGGGAATTGCAAATAATTGGCTTTTTGCACGGAAAGTGGGAAGTGATCTGCAGCATCTTTGGGCTTCTGGATATTTCCAGGCTGGACATTCTCCTGAGAAATCCCCACTGCCTCAGATATAATTTTTATATGCCTAAATATCACCTTAAGCCACTTACTTTGCAAAAACTATTCGATGTTTATAAGTCATAAGTGTATCCATGGAATATTTATCCAATTGTACTGTTAAAAATAAAGAGCAGAAAGAAACTCAGGTTTACTTCATAGAAACAAATCCAGGTTAGAAACCTAAGATTAATTCTAAATATCCCATACATTTTGACTTCATTAAATGAGTATTTTTATTCTTTTCAAAGGAATCTAGTTGTTAATTAGCTGACAGTGTTGTTATGTTTGAAACTTAAAAAATTATTTAGTATCATCCTAAAAGTAATGTCCAGTAAAGAAGACTGTCATGATAAAAAATTTTTGAAAATACAGATTATCTTAGACAGTTATTAATTATAAAATTTGCAGAAATTTTGCCTGTGTTAGGAATTTTTGGAGGGTTTTAATACAAAAGAACTGAGGAGAAATTCTGACTTCCAAATAAATCTGAGGGTGCAGGTATTCCCAGTTTTTAGGGAATAAAAAGTACGGATGAGAGGATTATTAGAAAAACTGATGGGGTAGCCCAGCCTGTCTTTATTTCATCACAAAGTCGTTCATGTAGAATAACAGACTTAGCAGTGCTGCTAAATGTCAAACCAGTATTTTTTTACCTCTGTTTTGAAACCCTGAGGCGCTGAACTTGAATTTTCTCTCTCTTGAACTTCCTTATTTATTGCTCAATACCAAAATCATCCGTACTGCTGCATTTCCAAGT